CCGCAGCCCGAGCAGTACAGGCCGCTGGGCGGCACCGTCCGGGCCGGAGCTTCCGGCCCCGGGTGCGCACGGCGGCCGACGCGGAGCTGGCGCTGAAGCCGCTCTTCCCGCCGCCGCAGTCGCTGTCGCTCCTCTTCCTCCAGTCGCTGCTGCAGCTCTCGCAGCTCCTCCTCCGGGGTCGGCGCGGACGCCGGCTCCACCACATACTCGGGGAACAGGAAACGCTCCTCGGTGCCCAAGCCTCCTGGGGAGTCTTCACAGGCCGTGGGGGCAGGAGGAAGCCCGCGGCCCGGGAAGGACTGGCGCTGGGACGAGGAGGCGGCCGCGCACCTCCTTTCTGGGAGGGGACCCGCAAGGGTCGGGCGCGCCGCCGCGGGCGCCGACACCCGCACCAGGCCGCAGAGCAGCCTTCGCGTTAGGAGCGCCGGCAGCATGGGGACGGCGCAGGGCCGGTCGGCGCGTGCGCACGTGAGCGGCAGTCGGCGCGTGCGCACGGGCCGCCCGGATGAGTCTAGGGATACCTGGGGACCGCCAATTGTATCTGTCTCCCGAGAGTCATTTGGAATTCTCGCGATGAAATCCCTTACCTTAACCTAAGACGACGGGGACCTAGACATAACTAGCTCGGTAGTGGGTGTTTTTTTCCCCCACCCGTAGGCTCCGTCAGCACCCCATGAAGTTGCTCTTAAAAAAGTCACACTTTAAAGTTTTTGGTCTTTCTCAGAGCGAAAAATAAAGGCATTAGGTGCCACTAGTTCACGGCCACAGCGAAATCTTTCGGTAATAAACGTGCTCAGGTGTTTTCCAGGTGTCATCATTTGTGCAACAACCACACTGAACAGCAGACCAAACTCTCACTGGCTGGCCCAAGCCGGAGGCAACCCCTGAGTTTGCGCATGCGTCACTCGAAGGCCGGCGCTAATCCTCCCGCCCCACCCCTGGCGCCGCCTCACCCTCTCACCGCGCCACCTTTTGCGCAGGCGCGGATTTCACGTCGGCTTAAGAAGGCGGGACCTTCGGTGTAGCCGCGGAGGATTTTGGGGACGTCGGAAACGGAAGTCACGTCGTCTCCGGCTTCGGCTTCCGGAGGTGGTGTGTGCCTTTCTCTCTGTGCTTTCTCGAGTTTGGCGCCTCAGAACCCGTCAACATGTATGACGCGGACGAGGGTAGGTGTCCCCTGCGAGACACCCGTGTGCTGACCCACCTCAGCGGGGAAGCCGAGGGGTCCGGGGTGGGTGGAGGGTCTGCGGCCCGCCTCCCCAGCCCGCAGCCGCGGGACCCCCGCCCGAGCCGGGCCCGAGCCAGGCGGGGTTTTCTGAGAGGAGGTTGTCGGGAACGCCAATCTGGTGGATTCTCGTTCTGCTACCTCTGAGTTCACCCGACGGCCTGGAGATAGCGTGTGGAACCTAAATGGCTTCTGTTCGGACCGTCTGAAGTGAAGGAGCCCTTTTACTTCCCCTAGGGCCACAGTCCATTTATTGTTGACTAGCATCAATTTTGTGCCAAACCTTGTGCGAGACTGTAAATACACTGGGACAAAGTGTGTTGAGGTCGGGTTTTAGTATTCCCGTTATCCTGACTTCAGCCTTGACAGGTGGCCTTTAAACTTTCCATCCTCACAAGATGAGACAATTCGAGCTTGTATTTGAGCTAACAGGGCTACTGTGTCTGTTTTATTTTTCCTATATAGAATTCATGTCCTTTGTACTTTCTTGTTGTATTCCTTTTAAAGATCGCTATTTTTTCTGATCACCCTTTACAGTTTTTCGTATTCTGGCTACCTCATGGAGAAAATAGAAGCAAATCTTAAGCTTTTAAAAGGCTGCTTTAACACCTCAGTCTTTTTTTTCTAGAGGTTAAGTTCGTTATATTCTCTTTCCCTTTTAGCAACTATCTCAGCGGAGTAAAAAAATAATAGCTTTTAATAGCTTTACTTTTTTATTATAAAGATGATGAACAGAGGGGTCACAGTTACATAAGTCAGGTAAAGAGTACATTTCTTTTTGGACAATGTCACACCTTCCCTCACACTCTCTGGGTTTTTCCCTCTTATCCCAACACAAGTTGTATAATTCATTTTCAACATAGTGTCTGTTGAATACCATTGCTGCATTTGTTTGCCCTTTGACCCTCCATTTCTGTGCCTCCCCTTACCCTTCCAAAGACATAAACGAACAGGACAAAAAGAAAATGAAAATAGCAACAAGGCAAAAGCCTCTTGTTTCTGTTTACTGGAGTTCACGTCAATAAATATTATTTTGTATGATCAGAGACACATAGGCATTGTGCCTTTGTGTTTTTGTTGTTGTTTTGTCAGCTGTGGGGCTTGAACTCAAAGCTAGAGCTCTTCTTTCTTTTTTTTTTTTTTGGGTGGGTTGTGGGGCTTGAACTCTGGGCCTGGGTGCTGTCCCTCAGCTCTTCAGCTCAAGGCTAGTGCTCTACCACTTGAGCCACTGCTCCACTTTTGGTTTTCTGAGTGGTTTATTGGAGATAAGAATCTCACATAGTTTCCTGCTGGGGCTGGCTTTGAACCCTGATCCTCAGATCTCAGCCTCCTGAGTAGCTAGGATTACAGGTGTGAGCACCAGTGCCTTTGTGTTCTAATATTTTTTAAAGTTTTTATTTATTTTTTAAATAAGCTTTTTTTCGGGGGGGGGTGGGGATCCAGTCGTGGGGCCTGAACTCTGCGCCTGGGCGCTGTCCCTCAGCTCTTCAGCTCAGGGTTAGTGCTCTACCACTTGAGCCACAGCGCCACTTCCGGCTTTTTTCTTTTTGCTTATGTGGTGCTGAGGAATCGAACCGAGGGCCTCATGCATGCAAGGCAAGCGCTCTACCACTGAGCCACCTTCC